ATGGAGATGAGCTATGGCGCGCAAGCGGCCACGGAGGAGGACCCGAAGGCGAAGATTCAGGGAAAGAGGCCGCGCGCCCATCCTCGTGACCTCCCACCCCGTTCGTTGAGGGTGTGACGACGTCTGGTGTCCCTCGGCTCTCGCCAGGATGTTCACGCTTACCTGGATACCTTGAGCTCTTTCGATCTACATGGGTCTGCACATGTTCGCCTAGTTTTACCTCGATTTTCGTGGCTCCATCCCAGCATGCCGACTGGAGCAGAGTCGTCAAGCCCTGCTCCTCGGTCCCCCCCTTCCCCGCCGGCCAGGTCGGCGGCCCGGCTTCCCCCGGGGCGGCCCGCGGGGGCCGCGCGCGGGCTCCGGCGGCCCGTCCGAGAGGCCGCGTGCCGGGCCGCGGGAGGCCAGGGCTCTGCGAGCCAGGAGGCTGCCGAGTCCAGCTGGACAGAGCGAAGGACTGGGAGCTTCTGGGCCTTCGGCCGCAGGCTTCTCGGGTGCGCCCACGCCACGGTGTCTCGGAGTCCCCGTCTGCGCGCACGTCTACGGAGCCCCAGCCCATCGAATGACACTGGCACTACACATGCGCTCCTAAGCAATTCGGAAGCGTCCCCAGCGGCTTGTCCACCTATCCTATCCCGCTATGTCCGCGTCTCGTTTCTATGGTTGCCGTTTTCGCCTGTTGGTATTATTTGTTCGAACATGTGTTTGCATAGAGGTGCACATACCATAACATATGTGTCTGTACACATACATGTGTATATAAAGTGGCATTCGGCCCATCCCACCACCGCGCCTGGGTAGTAGGCCGGTCAGAGGCATCTTGGATATTTGTGGGGACGTATTGCTCTCGGAAGCCGAGTGGAGGCGGTTTCGGGTGGCCGGGGGACTCTGGGGGGCATTTTGGGGCCTGATTTGGGCCTCTTTGGGGCATCCTGGGGCGTTTGGAGGGCCTCTTGGGGACATGTTGGCGCTCTCCGAGGTCATCGAGGGGCGGCGCGAAATGTCAGTTCGAACTCACCCTCTTGGGGCCGATTTGGGGCCGTCTTAGGGCCTCTTGGGCTGTCATGGGGCCTTCTTGGGCCGTCTGGGGCCCTCTTGAGCCTTCCAGGGGCTTCTTAGCCTGTATTTGGAATATCTTACGCCGTCTTAGAGCGTGGGAAGCCAGAAAAGGCGAAACTGCTCAGGGCCCTCTTGGGAACCTCTTGGAGGCTGGGGCGTCGTGGAGGCCTCTTGAGCCAGCTGGAGGCCATCTTGGGCATATTGGAACGAGCCTTGGCTGACTCGGAGCCCTCTTGGACCACCTTGGGGGCCTCTTGGGCCCTCTTGTCCCGTTCTGGGGCCCTCTTGCCTCCGAAAAGTCACGCGACAACACGCGAGACTCCCCAGAAAGTCTGGCAGTTTGGCGTTGCCCTCTTCCTCGCGCGCGCGACGACGACGACGGCGGCGGCGACGTCGACGACAACGCTGGCCACGAGCACGAGGCTATGATAATGTCAGGGACAACGATAGGGGGCATAGGCACAGGGGGGATTCATTGACCCCCCATCGCACATTGATCGCCGTGAGGGTCTGATAGCCCCACCCCGCAGAGGAACGCGCGGATCTGCTATCGGGGCCGATCGCCGATCTATCGGTGATCTATCGCCGATTCCAGGGCGATGTTCCCCCTATGCCAGTCCCCCTCTCTCGTTGCCCCTCATTCTGATACGTTCCAGGATTTCCAGTGTTGCCAAGGTCTCCGTATGCTCCACACGGGCTGCAGAAACCAGGGCCGCTACAGATGCTCCCTGGATATCCTGAAATGCATCCCGGGCCAATCCCATCATGACATGATCGGAGCTAAAGAGACGGGGGTCAATGCAAACGGGGGTCAGCCAGGGCACTGGATCCTGCAGGATCCTGCGAAGACCCCCTCTGGCTGACCCGGTTTAGCGAGCCGCTCGTGGCCGCGAGGCGGCCGCGCATATTGGCTGACCCGGGTTTGCGAAGCCTTGCGCTGCAGTTTGTTTCTCCTGCACTGCAGTTTGTTGGGTTTCCTGCCGACCCGGGCCTGATTGACCCGGGCTCGGAGGTCCCCGAATCATGATGCTCGTCCTGACCGAAGGCCGCCGCGCGCCTCTGGGCTCCGCCGTCGGAGGCTATGCCTGCGACAGAGGGGCCCCCGCGGGAGCGGGCTTCGCCGAGCCACCGCCCTCGCGATCTGGGGAAGCCTTACGTCGGGCCTGTCCCTCTACAGGGGGGAAATTCAAAAAGAGTAGAACGACAGTCTGGGGACGATTGCTTGTTCATGTTTGAGCATTTCTCGCGTAGTTGTGTGGGGTATGTTTTATTTATCGTTCAATATCCGCCTGCAGTGGGACACGCCCGACCTAAGGGAAGCACCTCGAGGCGCGCCCGCATCGATCGACAGATGGGCGACGCAAAAAGAGGGGGTCGACTGCGCCGACACTGGCGCGTAAGCTGCCCGCGCAAGGTCGCGCGTAGGCGCCCTCGTCTCCACTGTGGCTTGCCGCGCAGGCGGCCCGCGTGAGCCACCGCGTAGGGTCGCTGCGCCATCTCGCGCACGGTAGGTTCGCGCCGTGTCGACTGGCGGCGACCCCGCCAGCGGCGTTCAAAACGTCGAACGCCGCGGGCGACCCAGAGTCGTTCGACGTGGCACGATCTGGACGCTTCGGAAGCGGCCGATCGTTCAGGGTTGAGCGATCCCCGCGGCGCCAGAGACCAGCGCCGAAGTCGGCACGGCACGAGCCTGACGTGAGTTGTCCCGTTCTTGATCGGCGCCCAGGTGCACGCAGAGCACCTGCCTGCACGGCCCGGGCCCCACGGGAACGAGGAGGCGGGCGCCCAGGCCCTCGTGGCACAGGGGCCGGGCCCAGGCGCTGTTCGGCTGGGCTTCGGCCGTGTGGTGTTTGTGTTTGCTTTTCTGGCAGGGGCGTGCGCACAGGAGAGCAGGCCGGGCAAAACGAAGCACAGCACGAGCACAAAGCGAACAAGAACAACGGAAAACAGAACGAACAACAAGACGAAAAGAAAACAGGCCGGGCAAAACGAAGCATAGCACGAGCACAAAGCGAAAAAGAAAGACGAAGAACAAAACGAACAGCAGCACGAAAAGAAAACAGGCAGGGCAAAGCGAATAACAAGACGACCAGCAGCACGAAAGACAGCCTTTAGGCCCAGCCCTGCTTGGCACTGCTCTTCGTGGCTGGCGCGCGCGCGCCGCCCCGGCCGCCCGCGATCGCGCAGGTTCGAGGCCCTGGAGGCGCTGCGCGCGCTCGCCGCGCTGGGCATCACGGTGTTCCACTACGGCCCCCCGGGGGAGGGCCCTCCAAGGAGCCAGGCCTCCCTGGTTGCATCACTTGAGGTTGAACACCAGCTGGTGCCCTCTCTTCCCTCCTCTCTCTCTTCTCCTCCTCTCAGCACCTTGACCGCTATCACAGGCATGTCTCGGCCTGCCTGGGCGATTTCCTCGGTGACTCCTCCCTGTGCAGCACTCTTCTCACACCCCGGAGTGTTACAGAAGACCGGCTTTTTCAATTAGGCCACGCCAGGTGGGGTCGGACGATCGCGCCGCATCGCCGATGCATCGACGAGGCGGCTCGATGTGGAGCCCGTGGTTCTCCACGCCGACGTCGCCGGTGCATCGCCGATGCATCGCCGATACATCGCCGACGCATCGCCGATGCATCGGCGCTGCGGCGCGATCCTCCGACTCCATCTACTCGCACCTCATCTAGGAGGCCTCCAAAGGAGGAGGTCAGGGCGCCAGAGACCCCAGACCCCCTCGGGCAGGGACGAAATCGCGACGGGAGGTCTTTCATGCTATCTCCGGCCTCTGGGGACCCTTCCCGGGCCTCGGGACCGTCAAAGAACGATTCAGGACGGAAATTCGGTCCAGGGGAATGGGTCGAGACCTCCAGGTTTTTGATTCTATTTTCGGCCTCTGGGGGCCCTTCCTGTGTCTCGGGACCGTCAAAGAACGACTCAGGACGGAAAAAACCGGTCCAGCGGGAATGGGTCGAGACCTGCAGGCCCCTGGAGTCCAGGGGCCGACGCTAGAAAGAGTGTCATGGCGGCCGGGGGTCTGGGGACGGAGGCGCAGCAAACGGGGGCACGGGGAACTCCGATTTCCACGTTTGGCTGTGCCCCCGTTTCGGGGGCCCATGGGCGCCGTAGACGGGGGCACAGCCAAACGGGGGCACACTGAAAAGCCTGAACCCCCATCTAGCGACACCCCCGTTCACGAAGCCCGAGGAGGGCCCTGATCCTTCGGCTCCGCCGTGCGCTGGGCGCCGGAGCTGGCCGGGGGTCTGATGTGGCCCAGCACTGGTCCTGGCGAGGAGCATCTGGGGGCGAGATTCGAGGCTCCTGGCAGCGAAAAAACGGTTCCTTTTATGATTGTTGTTGTTGTTGTTGTTGTTGTTGTTGTTGTTGTTGTTGTTGTTGTTGTTGTTGTTGTTGAACATTATTTCTTCTTAAGAATAATTATTGTTGGGACCCCTGGTGCGCGACCCCCCTCCAAAACCTAGGCCGCAGCTACATTTTCATCATTTTTTCGCAGAAGCTTCAGAAAAGTGGATTATGTCCGGATCCGGTTTTTTGTTGACGCTCGTTTTCCCTTGCAAAAAACACTATAAAATGAAAATTCTTGTTCTTACTTGATCAAATTGCAAGAATCCCTTGCAAAAAATAAGGTAAAGTGGACATTCGTGCGCGCAAGACGAAATCCTTCCAAAACCTTAGGTTTCGTAACGATTTTAACATAAAAACATCAAAAACCCAATGGTTTTTTAAGAAAAAATTGTCAAAATGTCCTTCCGCGCGCGCTGTCCGAATCCCACAAAACCAATGGTTTTTCAACATTTATGTTACATGAGCTCGCGCGAGCTACTTTTTCTTGTTCTAACATAATCAAATTTCAATAATCCCTTGCAAAAAATAAGGTAAAGTGGACATTCGCGCGCGCAAGACGAAATCCTTCCAGAACCTTAGGTTTCGTAACGATTTCAACATAAAAACATCAAAAACCCAATGGTTTTTCAAAAAAAATGTCCAAATTTCATCCCGCGCGCGCTGTCCGACTCCCACAAAACCAATGGTTTTTCAACATTTATGTTACATGAGCTCGCGCGAGCTACTTTTTCTTGTTCTAACATAATCAAATTTCAATACTCCCTTGCAAAAAAAAGTAAAGTGGACATTCGCGCGCGCAAGACCAACAAAAAACACGACGATCTCCGGAACTTGCCCCAAAAATGTGACCAACTCCGCTCTCTCTGTCTCTCTCTCTGTCTGCTCTCTGTCTCTCTCTCTGTCTGTCTGTGTCATGTATTGTATGTCACAATTGCAGGATGCTGGGCACACGCGCGCCCCGAATAAGTGACCAAGTTCTGTGGGTGTGTACCCCACGCCAGTGTAGTAGCCACGGTCGTCCGCACGCCACGAAGTGAAGTGTCCCAACGTCATAGGGCGGGAAGCTGGGTTTGGGTGGTCGCGAAGAGTCGTTTGGATATTTGGTAGAGCTTGAACTGCCCCCCCACGAAGTGGGGGTATTGTCTCGCGTCGCATGAAAACCCTGGCACTGGTGAGAACACTGAGCGTTCGGGTAAAATGATTGTTGTTTGTTGTTGTTGTTGTTGTTGTTGAACATTATTTATTCTAAAGAATAATTATTGTTGGGACCCCTGGTGCGCGGCCCCCTCGCCGCGCCTAGGCCGCAGCCACATTTTCATCATTTTCGTGAGGAAGTCTCAGGCAAAACGGGTGTCCGGATCCGGTTGTTTTGTTACGGCCCGCTTTCCCTTGCAAAAAATAAGCTAAAGTGGACATTTCTTGTTCTAACATAACCAAACTTCAAGAATCCCTTGCAAAAAATAAGGTAAAGTGGACATTCGCGCGCGCAAGACGAATTCCTTCCAAAACCTTAGTTTCGTACGATTTTAACATAAAAACATCAAAACAACAATGGTTTTTCAAAAAAAAAGTGTCAAAATTTCATCCCGCGCGCTCTTGCGGATTTGTCGGAAACCCAACACTTTTTAAACATTTCTGTCAAACGGGCTTTTGCGAGCAACTTTTTCGAACTTCTGCAACAACGGTTGCGCACCTGCCAGGGCCATCATCCCTGTCAAATAATACCATGCGGGACACATTCGTTTTTTCTTCGCGCGCGCACGCCGTCGTCGTCGGCCGCGGGGCCCTGAATAGTAGCCACGGTCGTCCGCATGCCACGAAGTGAAGTGTCCGAACGTCATAGGGCGGGAAGCTGGGTGTGGGTGGTGGCGAAGAGTCGTTTGGAAATTTGGTAGAGCTTGAACCGGCCCCCCCACAAAGTGGGGGTATTGCCCGCCTCCTATGAAAACCCTGGCACTGGTGAGAACGGAGTGTCCCCACGTGCTAGTAATTGTTGTTGTTGTTGTTGTTGTTGTTGTTGTTGTTGTTGTTGTTGTTGTTGTTGTTGAACATTATTACTTCTAAAGAATAATTATTGTTGGGCCCCCTGGTGCACGCCCCCCCCGCCGCGCCTAGGCCGCAGCCACATTTTCATCATTTTCGTGAGGAAGCCTCAGGCAAAACGGGGGAGTCCGGATCCGGTTGTGTTGTTACGATCGGTTTTCCATTGCAAAAAAATAGCTAAAGTGGACATTTCTTGTTCTAACATAACCAAACTTCAAGAATCCCTTGCAAAAAATAAGGTAAAGTGAACATTCGCGCGCGCAAGACGAAATCCTTCCAAAACCTTAGTTTTCGTAGCGATTTTAACATAAAAACATCAAAACACCATTTTTTTTTAAAAAAAAAAAAAACAAAACAAAAAAAAAAAAAAAAAAATGTCAAAATTTCATCCCGCGCGCTCTTGCGGATTCGTAGGAAACCCAACACTTTTTAAACATTTCTGTCAAACGGGCTTTTGCGAGCAACTTTTTCGAACTTCTGCGACAACGGTTGCGCACCTGCCAGGGCCATCATCCCTGTCAAATAATACCATGCGGGACACATTCGTTTTTTCTTCGCGCGCGCACGCCGTCGTCGTCGGCCGCGGGGCCCTGAATAGTAGCCACGGTCGTCCGCATGCCACGAAGTGAAGTGTCCGAACGTCATAGGGCGGGAAGCTGGGTGTGGGTGGTGGCGAAGAGTCGTTTGGAAATTTGGTAGAGCTTGAACCGGCCCCCCCACAAAGTGGGGGTATTGCCCGCCTCCTATGAAAACCCTGGCACTGGTGAGAACGGAGTGTCCCCACGTGCTAGTAATTGTTGTTGTTGTTGTTGGTGTTGTTGTTGTTGTTGTTGGTGTTGTTGTTGTTGTTGTTGTTGGTGTTGTTGTTGTTGTTGGTGTTGTTGTTGTTGTTGTTGTTGGTGGTGTTGGTGTTGTTGTTGTTGTTGGTGGTGGTGGTGGTGGTGGTGGTGTTGTTGTTGGTGTTGTTGGTGTTGCTGGTGTTGCTGCTGCTGCTGCTGCTGTTGTTGTTGTTGTTGATGTTGAGCTCTAATTACCGAAGAATAATATTTGTTGATCCCCCCCCTCCGGCGGACATTATATTTTTTCAATTGAAGTGCCCCGTCTGGGGCTCGCACCCTGTTTTTTATCAGGGAAAGTCGTTGGCATCAAACTACGTTGTTGGCCCCCCGGACAACAACAACAACAACGGCTCCCGCTTGATACTTCCTCCAAATTTACTCAGGACCCCCGCCCCCGCCTGGGACTTCCTCGCAGTTTACTCAGGCGGAGGCGCTCCCGCTTGAGACTTCCTCGCAAATTACTCAGGACCCCCGCCCCCGCCTGGGACTTCCTCGCAAATTACTCCGGACCCCCGCCCCCGCCTGGGACTTCCTCGCAGTTTACTCAGGCGGAGGCGCTCCCGCTTGAGACTTCCTCGCAAATTACTCCGGGAGCGGCGCTCCCGCTTGGGACCTCCTTCACAACTGAGCATCAAACTGTGTTGTTGGCCCCCTGGACTACAACAACAACGGCTCCCGCCTGATACTTCCTCATCTACTCACGACCCCCGCCCCCGCCTGGGACTTCCTCGCAGTTTACTCAGGCGGAGGCGCTCCCGCCTGAGACTTCCTCGCACATTACTCCGGGAGCGGCGCTCCCGCCTGGGACCTCCTTCACAACTGAGCCCTGCTGAACTCTCAATACTGAAGAATAATTCTTCTTGATCCCCCCCGGCGGACACAGTATTTTTCCCCGACCTGGCGGAGGGGTTCCCGTTGTGTGTCCCCCTGGGGGGGTCTGGGGGGGGGACCCCCCGGGACATGGCCCCGGCCACGGGCGGAACGCCGGCGGAAGTCCGGCAGGACACGGCATC